AATACAAAATGGTCCATTGACTATAGAGTATTGCTTTATTAAGTCCATAGACTATTAAAAGTTATAAATTTATCCTCAGACTATAGAGTGTTACTTTGTTAAGTCCCTCGACTATTAAAAGTTACAAAATGGTCACCCGACTATTCTTTATGTTTCAAACTCGTATTTTTTCGTTAAAAAAATTGACGGTATTCTAAGCTGAACATTAACCTATTAACTGTGATATGATAAAATTTGATCTCAGAATCTCAAACGACTATCATATCTCAGTCATCATGTTAATGTCCAACTTAGACGACTGTTATTTTTTAATGGAAGAGGACGAGTTTGGAACATAATGAATAGTCATGTGACCATTTTGTAACTTTTAAGAGATGAAGGACTTAACAAAGGAACACTCTATAACTGGAGAATCATTTTATAACCTTTAATAGTTGAGGGACTTAATAAAGTAATATCTCATAGTCGGAGGCCAGAATCTTATATTGGGCCATTTGGTTGGTCCTACCAATCTCTATTCCATCGTTTACTTTTAAATTTTGTTTGTTGGTCTATATTCGAATTAAGACGAAATCGATAGAATGTACAAAACAATAAGATCATTAAAATAACTAAAGGGCCTGATTGAAAAATTGAAACATCAATGGTCAAAATGAAAAGAGACACTAGTTCAATGGTCATAAGTATAATATACCCTTAAGTTTCGCCGGAGTATTATAATGGAATATCTTCCAAAGCATCTTTGATTCACACCAAAACTGTTGTTTCAACACTAAACCTAAATCGTATCATACAATGGTTTGAAAAGAAGGGAACTGTGTTTTCTTCTTTTATAACTGACGCTGTCTAATCTATTAATCGATTAATTTAAGATATTACGAAATTTTATATTTCATCGATCGAACATAATAATTTTATATTCCGATCATGTGAATTTATGCTGTTTTCCAACGTATTGGGCAGGCTCGCAGCATTGTTCCCAACCAAATGGTCCATTCTCTTTACTAATCACTGGCTGGTCCAAGAGGGAGCTGTTATAAGGATCCCACATGGTCCAAATGGAACATTGTAACAACTTCAATACTATTGCTGCCACGGTCCAAAGATTCATCCATGTATACATCCCTAGTTCTTATAAAGAAAATATGCATACAAATACTTGTCCCTCGGACGTTTGATCTCGATTCCGTTCCGATAGGGTAACAATTTCTTCATAGGCATCTTATACCACAGTGATAAGACATACACTTTGCAGATATGATTGCTTGAATTCATGAATTAAAGGAGAATAACACTCTTTTTAATCACTGAAGTCACTCATTGAATTTATATCAATTTTATTTTTTTTAAACCCCTTAAAAACTCACATAATTTAAATAAAAAAAGCATCATTTTTGTGGTTTTAGATGTTTGTTTGAAAATCTAAATATTGAGAGGTATTCTTTTCGGGAAAATAAACAATATATCTCAAAATTAACCTCATCAGATGATAATCGGAGAAGAATAGAGTATTAAAATGTTAACTTTTAGATGAATTTTTGTCGATTTTGAGTAGAGTTCATAAAAATCAATCCGATGAAAAGAAGAAAAAAAAAGTGAGATGCAAACATTTTAATACCGATCTTGTCGCGAATGATAAGCAACTATAGATTGAAAGCGATGACTAAAGAAATTGACGCCTATTTGTATGGACCTAAATGATACACATTAAAATTTAGATAAAAAGGCATCAGAGGGTCATGTACTTTATAAAAACCAATGCGGTCATTGTATCATTTTTCTCTTAATGTGACACTCCAACTCAGAAAATAGGCCTAATGTGTCCCTTTGACTAACGTTTTTCGTCGTTGAATATTACGGTGCTGATGTGGTAGTTCACGATACTGACGTGACAGTTCACGGTACTGACATGACGATCTACAGTGTTGACGTGACAGTCCATGGTGGTTGATAACATGGTGGATAACATGACAGATGGACTGTCACGTCAGTATCGTGGACCACCATGTCAGCACCATAACAGTCAAATGACTAAAAATGTTGGTCAAAAGATCACATTGAGTTATTTTTTAAGTTAGAGGGATACATTGAAGTAAAAAAAAGTACAAGGACTACATAAATAATTATAAATTCATTTAAATAAATAGATTTGACCCAAGGCATTTCCTTTATGCAGCTTCTTCAATTATTGGAACACTAGTGTTGATCACCATCTGCTTCATAAAAAAAATCCCATTAATGCTGAGAACAGGAGAAAATAAGAACATTGAAGTGTTCTTAAAGGACCATGAATTTCTAGCTCCAAAAAGGTACAGATACTCGTATATCAAGAACATAACCAACTCATTCCGAGTCAAACTAGGCAAAGGAGGCTATGGCGATGTTTACAAAGGCAAGCTACTTGACGGAAGACATGTAGCAGTGAAGATTCTGAAAAAATCAAAGAGTAACGGGGAAGACTTTATCAACGAAGATGCGAGCATCAGCAGAACTTCTCATGTTAATATCTTATCTCTTCTCGGTTTCTGTATCGACGGTCGTCACAGGGCTCTAATCTACGAGTTCATGCCGAACGGATCGCTCGAAAAGTTCATATTTCAAGAGAAAACAGGCCGTCGATTGGAGTGGAAGAAGCTCTACCGGATCGCAATCGGCATAGCCAGGGGACTAGAATATCTACATTGTGGCTGCAACACACGTATTCTCCATTTCGACATCAAGCCTCACAACATCCTCCCCGACGACGAATTCTTCCCAAGATATCCGATTCCGGCCTGGCGAGACCGTGTCATGGACACGAAAGTGACCATCGGATACATTGCACCCTAGGTGTTTTCAAGGAATTTCGTAAGAGTGTCGCACAAGTCCGATGTTTATAGTTACGGGATGATGATTTTGGAGATGGTAGGGGGAAGGAAGAGTGTTAACGTGGATGTTGATCGGACGAGTGAAGTGTATTTTCCGGATTGGATATACGGTCGTGTAGAATTGGACGAAGAACTGGGACTAGAGGGTGTTAGGGATGAAGATGAGCAAGAGAAAGCGAGGAAGATGATAATAGTGAGCTTGTGGTGCATACAAACTGATCCATCAACTCGGCCGTCGATGAGTAGAGTGGTGGAGATGTTGGAAGGAAGCACTGAGTCACTCATCATCCCACCCAGGCCTTTCTTATCATCATCATCATCATCACCTTCAAGAGCAGCTAAGTTAGGTTAATTACTAAATTAGTTGCTCAGTTTAATGCAAGACTATTAAAATGTTAGAGGCGAGTAAAATACTTGTGAGCTGGTTCGCAATTTTTAGCGAATGCATGAGCTAAAAGTACAGAGGCTGAGGTTTTGTAATAGCAGGTGGCAACTGAATTCAGAACCCTGGACTGAGAACTCGCGCCTTGTACTGCGACTTCATACAACCATTTAATAACATTGTCCAAGCAAGTTTAAAATATAATTATAACCACTAAATTTCACACTAGATCTTATTAATGTAAATTTTATTATTAAAAGTTAACATAACAGTTTAAATATTTTTTTTCTTCCATACGAATCAAATGAATTCATTGATTAAAGGAATAGTTGCTATCCTTGGAGGTATCAAATTTAAATATCACTGTAACACCTTGATTCAATCGGACCTAAAAATCGAAGGATTAAAGCATTACACGGAACCATTGAAATGATTAACCCAAAAAATCCTTTTAAAACATCATCCTACCATCATTAAAAGACCGTAAGTCTGTAATTTAAAACATGTATGGAAAACATAAGTATATCATGTCTATGAATAGTGCATGCCCTCTAAAATAGACTAAGATGTACTTTGATGTCTCGATAAATTTGGAATCACAAACCAATGATAAGCTCCTTGAGAGATCTCCTAAGAACCTGCGCACAGGAATACGTTTCGAACGCTGAACTCTACTTATGATACCGTTGGGTATTCGGGCTGAGATCCGGAATTTCTACATCGCAAACGTACATCCGGGTAGCTTAGCCCTTGGAGTACTTGGGACATTTGCATCCAACCGGAAAATATAAATGTCTTGACACTAGCTGAGATATATTTGTATATTTCTAATCAAACAAGACAATCGTCATACTTACTAAAGTAATTCAGATATCCTTATTATTTTTCAAGCGTTATACAAGAGCATAAATTTTATGACATCTTACTTCATAATATTCTTATGTGTTTACTGTAATTGTTCGTTTTTCTCACTTACAAACTTATTAGAGAAGTTTTGACGATATTAGACCCTTTTTCGAGCCCTTAAATTCAAGTTAGACTTCTGGTCTAATTTAAAACTATTGTAGGAAGATAGTAAAATTATTGGATATGATAAATATTATGTTTAATGTTGAATAGTTCAACCGTTGTAGGAATATAAATAAGTTATTGAATATGATAGATATTATGTTCAATAATGACAACAATCAAAAGAACGTCAAACGGTGACTACGCTTACGCTAATGAAAGACGACCAACAATTGTTGATTTGAAATAAGACTTTAATTTTTCTTAAAATATACCTTAATATATAACATTAATTTTAAGTTGGAAATTATTTATATGATTTGTGTTACGATTAATTAAGATCTGATGTAGCTGTCATATACCAACGAGTCCAAATGACAGTATGAGCTGGTGATAGGGGTGCATGTTTATACGTGGAATGCAATGGATTATGGCATACGATGCAATGTACTGTGTTGTGTCGTAACGCCGTCTCCTCCTCTCTTTCCGCCTCTCACGGTCCTCGTTTTTCTCTCTGTCTTGTGTGCCACCACACTTGTCCTCTTCCCTAAATCTTTCTTCCTTCGCCCACCTCAACTCAACACACAATGTACCAAGACACCTGCCTTTTCATGGAGAAAACCCCATCAGCTGCTCATTTGTCACATTCCCAGCCGTTGATTCACATCATATTTTTGTACCAATTTGGAGGGTATAGTTTCAGGAGGGTGATTTTGTAATTGAAAAAGCAAAAAAAAAAAAACTATTATAAAAGGCCAAGCACCCTTTTCCAAGCAGTCCCAAGTTTCAAAGCCTAAGCATCATCTCTAATGGAGTTTCACCTTACTCTCCTCCTCCTGCTTTTGTTCATCGGCATGGTTCAGGTAAACACATCATTTCCTCTTAAAAACAGCTTGTTTAATCCTTTCAAGAATCGGCCCTTTGTGTTTCACATTTCCAGGTCTTATCAGAGGCCATGGCTGAAGAGCAGAAACATGCCCGGGTGGTGAAAGGACCAACAAGAAAGCTTTTTCGATTCGTTGGTAATGGTTTTCTGCCATTGAATCTATCATTTTTGTTGTTGTTGCTTGAAATAATGAAAATGAGTGGGTTTGCAGATTGTGGGGGGTTGTGCCAGGCGAGGTGCAGTATACTCTCGAGGCAGAACGTGTGTAAAAGAGCAAGCGGAACCTGCTGCGCCCGGTGCAGATGTGTGCCGCCGGGCACCTCGGGCAACAGGGAAAGGTGCGGGAGATGCTATACTGATATGAGAACACATGGAAACAAGTTCAAGTGCCCTTGATTTTCCCATCTGATGAACTAAGAAACCTCTTGTCGCTGTGATCAAATGTGTGTAATTTCATGTTTATGGAGTTTGATGTTTTTTATGTGGTGGTTTGTAAGAGTTAATACCAGTTCTTGTTTGTTTGTACCTTCAAGAGTTCAAGTTCCATCTTCTTGTAGTATAATCTGTACTGTTGTGTACTAATTCAGTCCCCTGTATACCTCTCTTCAATCACCAAATGATTTTATGTACACAAGATTTATGTTGTTATGGAGCGAAATTAAAATTTTAAAATTTTAAGGGCGTATTTGAACTTATAAAATTTTAGAAGAGAAAATATATATTTAATCAAAAATACATAAATTTTTTAAAATATATGATAATTTTAAATTTTCAGGGCAACTGCTTCTATCTGCCCTCACTCGGTTCATCCTTGGATGAGCCTTTGAAATTTTAGTCCTTGGATGAGCCTTTAAAATTTTAGGAGAAAATGAATTTAAAAAATTTTTAGACGAAGATTTGATGAAAATAAATTATCAATAAATATTGATTAAAGATAACGAATTTATAAAAGTTTTAAAGAAAAATTGATGAAAAATAAATTATTAATAAAAAAATATTAGAAAATTTAATAACTTAAAATATACGATAATTTGAAATTTTCTAACCACAATCTTTAGTGCACCAGTATATACAACTTTGCTTATTAGGTACTTTTCTTGTTTACTTAATTTTTTTGTCTTTGTACAAATCTGTTTACCTAAGTGGTTAAAGGAAATGTTATTGTACCTCTGTGGTTAAAGGAATCGTAATTGTTCCTATAGGCCAAGGGTTCGAACACCAACATCTAAGACATGGTGATTGACTGTTTATTGTCAAAAGATTAAAAATATTTAAAACATATATTATTTATAATCGTTTTAGCTTAATAAAAAATTATCTTTAAAGGTAAATTTAACTATGAATTGATAAAATAAAATAAAAATAAGAAAACAATACATTGAGAAAATCATTACAATATCAAATTGAACTTAATAATTTTTTTAGTATCAAATTGTATGATAATTTGCTAGGATGATTACGTCTCTATGAATATAATTTCAAAATTGTAATTAATTATAATAGTTTTACACATTTTAATAACGTTTTTACTATTAATATTTTAATGTTTTTTATATAATGTTTTTATATATGATTAATATTTTAATATATTTTTTATAGAAATCCATTAGTTTTATTAAAAATAAAAAATATCCAAAATTATAATAAAGTTATACAAACATAACTAAACGTAAACTAAATTATAATTAATACATTTTTATTATAATCATTGACGTAAAAACTAGCCACCTAGATCACATAAGGATCATAAAAGGAAAATGTTAAAACACCTAACCAATGCTCAAACAATATAAAGATACGGAAAAATTTGACTGCATCGGTAAACGAACAACAAAAGGGGATGAAACTACTGAAAGACTACTGACAAATCGCAAATCAGAGTCGAGCGACATGAGAAAACTATCCACGAGCATAAAATACGTATCCAAATCAATTTGAGGGTCCAAAGCAGTGAAGATAAGCATGATAACAAATAAGCGTCAACTTGATCAGTCGCGACAATGTCAAACCCAATTATAAAAAAAGATAAATGAAAACAACGGCAAAATAATAAAAAAAACCACAAAAAATATAATAAAAAAACATTACACAAAGATAAAGGTAAGCACAAAGATATAATTACACTTATTAAAAACGAAAAAAGAAACTAATGGTTGGTAACAACTATCAAAATTGATGTCGTCGTTAACTAAATAAAATCAATGAATTTTTTTTATTTGAGGTATAAAAATTGATATAAACTGAAAAGAGAAAAAAAGGGAGAGAACGGCTAGCCCTTAGTACATTTAATATTAAGTTGATGATATTAGGGCCGCTGATATTAATGTAATAATATTGAGGATGATTCGTATGTACGGCTAAACTCTCGAGATAATGTTTTCGAACAAATTATTTCACGAGATAATGCTCTCCCAATATTAATTGCTCAAATAGGGTGAAATCCACGGTGTTGGTCGTAGGTCGCCATGCCTTCCAGGCGACCTACTACGTGGCCAGCCATGCACGTCCCCAAGCATAGGTCGCCATGCCCTCCCTCCTGCTCCTCGCGTGATTCCTCTTGCCCTCGCATAGCTCGCTCGGATGACCTCAGTCGGATGCCCTCGGTCGAATGGCCTCGGATACTCTCGCATAGCTCCCTTGGATGGCCTCGGATGCCCAGCGTGTTGGAACGTGCATGGCATTTGCAATCTCTCTCATAGCTCGCCGGGAAGACATGGCGACCTAGTAGGTCGCCCGGATGGCATGGCGACCTACGGCCAACACTGTAGATTTCACTCTATTTGAGCAATTAATCTGGAGAGTGCATTATCTCATGAATTAATTTGTTTGATAACATTATCTCGAAAGTTTTGCCCGTATGTACGGTTAATATTTTAATAATTTGATTGTGATGTTTCGTACTTCATTTATATAGATTATGAATGTTAATTTTCAAATAAATTCATAACATTTAACTATTTGGTTCATATAAAAAAATATAACCGTTAATCATATACATTAATAAGGGCAAATCATGTATTTAGTACAAAACTATTAATTTTGATACGTTTTAATACCTAAATTTTTAATTTTTTTTTAAATTATACTTAAAGTTTCGTTTTAGTACATCTTTTCAAAATTTAACATTAAATTTTAAAAAAAATAAAAGTTAAGATACTAAAACGGAATAAAATTTATAATTTAGATATTAAATACGTGATTTACTCTGTTAATAAAGATATTATTATGAATTAGCATGATAGAGATCATATCACGTGATTTAAAATCACTCAAGTAAACTAGAGTGATTTTAAACATTCCAATGATTTTTTTCACGGTTAATATTTTAATAATATGATTAACAATTTGACATATTTCACATTGCATTTATATAAATAATTTGTGTCAAGTTTTTTTATGTGAGACTTATACATATAAAGTTTTAAAATGAGTACAACATAAAAAAATATGAATTTTATTTTTTTAATAATCTAAAATAATATTTTTTTTAATATTTTTTTAATAATTAATAATATATACACACAAATATAATGCTTGAACTAAGAACCTCCAATAAGTACAATACACTATTTAACCTAAATTATGCTCGCATAAGCCATTGATTAGGGTTCAGGTCATTAATTACTTATTTTTAGGGGTGTTCATTTTTCGGTTTTAACCAAATTATTCGATCGAACTAAATTAGTTCGGTTAATTCGGTCGGCTACCGAATTAGTTCGGTAGGAGAATGGTTAACATTTTTTTCAATATTCGGTTAACGGTTAATTCGGTTCGAAATCGGTTAATTAACCAATTAACCAAATTAACTGAGGTTATTAAATATAAAATATATTATATATATTAAATACATATTTTAAGCTCAAACTCATTAAGAATTAAGACTCAATTATTTTTTAACCATACTAAACTCATTAAATTATCAATACCTTATTAAAAATTTAACCCAAATAAAAAATACTTTATTATATTCAAATTAAACTAATTAAATAAATTATAAAAAATCGGTTAATTCGGTTAACCGGTCAAAATAACCGAACTTTATTCGGTTTGGTTAATATTTTCAAAAAAAAATTTGATTCGGTTAACGGTTAAAGAAAAAAATTTAATTAATTTGATTAATAAAAATTTTGTTCGATCGGTGGCTGAATTAACGGTTTGAACACCCCTACTTATTTCTACAAGTTTCCTGTGAGATTATGATATAGCGGACTGTCATGTGAGTGTAGCCCAAACACTTTTATAAACAATTACAAGGATGTAAGATTTTATATTAAAGAAATAAATTTAAAATTTTAAAAATAAATTTAAATTTACAAAATTGTAGAAAATGAAAACAAATTTTTAATAAAAATTATATAAAATATATTATAATTTTAAATTTTAAAGAGCACGATTATCTCCGTCCGTCCTAATCGATTCAGGTCACTGATTACTCATGTCGGTAAGTGTAGCCCTAAAAGGAACAAGAAGCAAAGTTGTGGTACCTATAGTGGGGAAAGAATAAATGCTATTCGCTGAAATCGAATTTGTTCCACTACACCCTACTGTCTGCCTTTATTGCTTTTCCTATCACAAAAATGGACCCCTAAATATTTAAAGGCCCTTTCTATTTTCATATATATACAATGACCACAAAATTTTTCTATTTTCATATATAAAAGGGACCCTAAAAATTTAATATTCCATTTAAAAAAAATTGAGTGCAAAATATTTTTTTATTTTTTATATTCCAGTTAATAAATTAAATTAAATTTAATATTTTTTAAAATAATGAATGTGTAGTGATTCTCCTACGAGTCATATACATCCTAATGTGATTATGTAATGCATGATTTTGTAAGTTTAGTTTTTTTTTTCAAACTATATCTAACGTTTATTTTTTGTTTCATTTTAATACATCGTTGTTAAAAACTTAACGACACTACATTTTTATGAGTAAATTACATCATTCATCACTCAACTATCTTTTCACTCTTATTTTGGTGCTAAATTTTAAAAAATTTAAATTTAACTACTCAACTTTCAAATTGCTCCTATTTTAATCACTCTAATTTATTTTATTAATATTTTTGTGACATGACATTTTCATTATTATTTTATTAATATGTAATTAAAAAATTAAATTTGAAAGTTAAAGTGATCAAATTAGGAATAGTTTGAAAGTTAAGTAATTATATTACAAAAAATTTAAACTTTAGTGACCAAAATAATAGTGAGAAGATATTGAGTATGAATGATGTAAATTATCCATAAAAAGGTGACACATACAAATCACCTGTTAAGTTTTTTTAAGACGGCGTAGTAAAAGAAACGAAAACTAAATGTTAAGTATAGTTTTGGGGGGAAAATGAAAGTTTAGGTACTATGACGTATCAAAAATGATAGTTTAAATATTAAACGCATAATTTATTCTTATTTTCATTTACTATTTTTTAATATAGAAATTAATGTATTCTTTTTATTACTACTTTGCAAACATAAAAGTTAGGTAAAAAGGCACTAATATATTTTAAAACCGAAAAGTATAATTACAAGTGAACATGAAAAACATGTTCTTTTAGATGAAGAGTAAAGAAAATTACAACATTATGGTAGGCCATATTTAAAAGGCACTACAGAATTGTTTAAGTTACGATAACTTTAATATATAATTAAAAAAATATGTTATCGAAAATATTAAAAATTATTAATATTTTTGGTAAAGCGTTACCTAAAGCATTATGTGTTATCGGAATTTTAAAAATTTTAACATTTTCTATAGCGTCTTTCTTTAGCCGTATTTTAAGGTTGTCTCACGACATAATTACCCCGACACTACAAGTGATTATGTTGTTGGCTAAATAATCTCGCCGTCCGACGGGAGCGGATACACTAAGCTCTCTAGGAAGCCAAGTATATTCCCACTATTTTTAGAAAATAATTAAATTTAATTTAAAATATTCAAAAATATATAATAAGAAGAATAAAAAAATATTTATCATTTTTAATATAAAAAAAATATGAAAATTTTGAACTCTTATTTTTTATCTTTAAATCCGTCAATTACCATGCGAACTTCTATGTCGGCCAGCGGTGGATTTACACTTCGCTGGCAACATATTTAAAGTGTGTAAAGCTTATTAAAATATTACTTCCCTTAAAATCATACGTTGCAATTGAATGATTAAGATTTCTTGCAATAGGAATAAAAGTGGTCGGTAAATCAGACAAAAGAGTTGATATATTACGTCGTATTTAAAGTTAATTTTGTGATTTAAATAAATATATTTTAGGGATGGACATTTAAATCCGACCCGACCGATCGGGTCAATTTTTTTTTAAAAAAATTCGGGTTCAGGTAGAGTCGGGTCGGGGTCGGGGTCGGGTTTAGGGTGAAAAAATCCGACCCGAACCGATTTGAAAAATATATATAATTTTACCCTATATATTTAGGGATAATTACAATAATACCCCTCTATATATGTATTTTCAATTAAGTCACTATTTTTATTGAATAAAAATAATTTTTTTTATTATTTCGGGTCGGGTCTGGTTTCTATGTCATATATTCGGGTCGGGTTGGGGTGAAAACTTGTTTTGGTCGGGTCGGGTCTCGGGTGGAGACTCTCTATCTCTCGGGTCGGGTCGGGTGGACCAAAAACCCGACCCATGTTCATCCCTAATATATTTATTGTTAATTTTAGAGACCAATTCATAAAATATCTTAGGATTGTAAAATTAATTTATAATTTTAGAGATGAATTCGTAAAGTATAAATTTTATCATTTTCAAAGGGACTAAAAGGCAAATTAAACATTTTCGGTGATGTTGCCCTTATCCAATTTGATAACGAAGAATTGCGGGCACTAGTCAAGGTTTTGCAACTTAACTTTAATGATATTTATCGTCCTACTATTAGTTTATGAAATAATTATTCTTTTCGTAATACTTTTTGGTTATTATTTAATATAAATAAAAAGTTTGTTATAAAAAATAAATTTAATATTTTTAATTATATTTTATCATTTAAAATTAAATTTTTCTGTATAAATCTTAATCAAATACTTCAAAATGCTATTTCACTTTTTCTAATCTCATTACAATACTTTAATAATTGCGAATTATATATACATTTTAAAAGGTTTAGAACGTTATTTTATTTTATTTTTTTAGTATAACCAACGGTATTCGATCTATTGATCAATTAATTCAGATCGGATACTGCATAGGCGATGACGACCCTCCCAACCTAGTTTGCTCCATTCGCAAATGACAGAATTTAAACCCCTGACCTTGCTTAAGTGACCTATTGTCTCATCCTACTAAACCAACTGGTCGTTGGTAGGCCATTATTTTATTTTTAATATTATGGTTATAATTATTTCATTTAAATTAATTTTTAATATTAAATATATTATTTCACAATCAATTTATTAATATTTGAATTCATAGATGCCAGAACCAAGTAGGGAATTCGTAAGCAATTAGGAACCATGTTGACGTCAGTCTGCTTACGTAATAATAAATTAACTAATGATTTTGAAATTTGGGGGATCGGGACAGCAATAAAATGGAATTCGGCTCACGAGGATCTTAAAGATATTTTTTTTTTCTGTGTACCGACTTCAGTAATCACAGGTGTAAGTGCTTACATTCGTGACACGTAATCCACATAACGAAAGTCGACGTGTATTATTCTTTGGCCGTCATCGTCAGTGTATGGTACAATCGATCTGTCAGTTGCCTGTCTTCACACACACTCAAATCACTTTTAGATTTCTCCTCCTCCGTCCTATAAGAACAGTCCCTCGCTGCCAATAATCAACTACGGAAAAACAGCGTTTCAGCACCGCCGCACCGGATAGGAAGAGAAATGGAGAACAAAGAGTTTAAAGGGCACGTGATAGTGGTGCCGTATCCAAGTCAAGGCCATATCAACCCTCTTCTCCAATTCGCTAAGCGTTTAGCCTCTAAAGGTGTCAAGGCAACGCTGGCCACCACGCGTTACACCGTCGGTTCCATATGCGCACCGCACATCTGTGTCGAGGCTATCTCCGATGGGTTCGACGAAGGCGGCTATTCGCAAGCCGGAAACGTCGAGTTTTATCTAAAGTCGTTCAGGGAACAAGGGTCCCGAACCCTGACTCAGCTCATCCGGAAATTCAAACACACCGGCACGCCGGTTACTTGCGTGGTGTACGACTCGTTCCTGCCGTGGGCTCTTGACGTGGCGAAGCAGCAAGGGATTCACGGCGGTTCGTTCTTCACGAACTCCGCCGCGGTGTGTAGTATCTTTTCTCGTATCCACCATGGCCGCCTTGCTTTGCCGCTCACCCCTGAAACTACACCGTTAATGTTACCGGGACTTCCGCCGTTGAACTTCCGTGACTTGCCCACTTTTCTCCGGTTCCCGGATAGCTATCCTGCGTACTTGGCCATGAAATTGAGCCAGTTCACGACTTTGAATCAAGTTGATTGGGTTTTCGCTAACACCTTTGAAGACTTGGAAAGAGAGGTACCTAATATATAATCTTAGTAATAACCGTACGTACAATCTTCATCATCTATCAACTGATATAAAAATATTTTTAGAATAGGTACATACATTAATTATTATTAAATACATGTAATAAAATAAACATATAATATAAAAAAATCTTAGATTTCATAATAGACATGTGTCCGCCCATGCTTTGCGTCCGCCACTGTCTACAATTTTTTTATATTTTAGTTACGTATTGTTGTAGGAAGCAAAAGGCGTGTCGGAGCTCTGGCGAGCGAAGATGATCGGGCCGATGGTGCCGTCAGCGTACCTCGACGAGAGGATCAAAGGTGACCGAGGCTACGGTTCGAGTTTATGGAAGCCATTAAGCGAAGAGTGCATGGAATGGCTAGAAACAAAGCCATCAAAATCCGTGGTCTACATTTCATTCGGGAGCATGGTTTCACTAACCGAGGAAGAAATGGAGGAGATCGCTGGCGGCTTGAAGGAAAGCGAACTGCATTATCTCTGGATCGTCCGGTCATCGGAGCAGAAAAAGCTTCCCAAATGGTTCCTCGACTTAGACAAGGAAAAGGGCATGGTGGTAACATGGTGTAACCAGCTAGAAATGCTGTCACATCCCGCCGTGGGCTGCTTCGTGACACACTGCGGGTGGAACTCGACGCTCGAAGGGCTGAGCCTCGGCGTGCCGATGATCGGTGTGCCGAAATGGGCGGATCAGTTGACGGATGCCAAGTTCGTGGAGGATATTTGGGGGATCGGAGTGAGGGCCAAAGAGGATGAGGAAGGAGTTGTGAGGAGGGAAGAGCTGGTTAAGTGCTTGGATGAAGTGATGCAAGGGGAGAGGAGCAGAGAGATGAAGAGAAACGCTAACAAATGGAAGGAAATAGCTAAGAAAGCAATAAGTGAAAGAGGGAGCTCTGATGAGTGCATTAATGAGTTCGTCCAACAATTGACGGCCATTGCCCAGCAAATTAATTAAGGTTGCTAGCTGGGTTCTCCACTTTCTTAATTTCTAGCATTATGCTGATTGATATGCAGTTATTTTATGTATATAGGGATTATCAACTCACTAATTATATGATAATATTTATTCGAAATATTTTAAATTATTTGATAATGAATAATCAAACATTTTGATATGCGTTGTGTTCAAATTCGAAAAATTTAGAATTAACAATTATTCTTTAATTTCTAAGATTGTTCAGTTTATACTAAAATTTTAACACATATAAACTATTTGTATAGTTAAGAAATTATCGGTATTTTTGAGGTTTTAGATTCGAGCAAAAGAAAATATCAATTATATGAACGTTTAATATTAAACGATTGATCATATCTTAAAACATTAAGGGTTATCCTTATAAATATAATCAAATACTGTCTTATAATTAACTTAAATTAATAAATAAATCAAACTTTATAATTTAGAACAATCAATAATGATTTTAATTAAAAAATTATTTAAATTTAAAACAAACAAAAGTACATTATTTAAGGGTTTTTTTTATAAAAAAAAACAACTTTATTGGACATCCACAAATATTTTAATGACTTGTATTTGTTTATTTGTTTTTCTATACTATTCTTTGACAACTACAGTCCTCACGCATGTGTAAAATACTAATGTCTCCTTTTTATTTTATAATTATCCCATTTACATTATAATATTTTCAAAAAATAATTATCGACATTATGTAAATGGGATATTATAAGAATTACTCCCTCAACTTCTATTTTATAACGTTAAACTTTTAAATTGTATGAATTCACTTTTTTATTAGTTACAAATATTACTAAACATTTATATAAATTTGCAATATCTCATTGTATATATACCTGGCAAATTTGACCCGTACCTGATTACTTAAATTGATTTATCCGATTCGAGATCCGATATAAACTCGAACATGATGACCCAAAATTGATCCGAAGCCCAAAATAACCTGGATTTTAGTTGGACCGAAAGTAACTCGAATCAAAATCAACCCTGATTTAGTTTACCCATACCGATTTGAATCGAACTTCAACCTGATTTTAACCCGATAATTGAGTCTAAATGAATGAATCATTTATTTTTTATTATTATTGTCTAATTATAGAATTGATAAATAGTGATCTATGTTTTATTCTCATTTTTTTTATTATATTACTAGTTAATCACCAACTCTAGTAATATTTTAATAGTTCAATATAATCTTTCATCGGTTAAAAGACTATCTTTTTGTTTAATTAAATAACTTCTAGCTCTGGATTTGAACTGTGACAATATATATTCACATAAAATTATTAATTTTAAATATTTATTGATTCAATTGATTAAACCTAGAACTTCTAACTTTGCATTTGAGATGTGATAATATATATTTATATAAAATTCTTAAATTTTAAGTAATAAAGAGAAGCACAAAACGTTATGACAAAAAAAATGACAACGATTGATATAAAAATCTAAAGATTGATATGAATATCTAAAGGTTGGCTCGAAAATTAAAAAGTTGATCCTAATTGATCAGAAAATCTAATGATTGACCCGAACTGAATTCAACCAATTTGATGTTGACCCGACCCAAAGTAAATCGATATGATATTAACCAAAACCCCGTAAACCTACTATGTAGATATTGTTATTTGTATGGATCAAGTTCATCGTAGTTTTAAACCTACTTTGACAAAACCGAAGTGTCTTTATAAGCTTACGTGGCAAAACATTGCCACGTGGCGTCAAGGAACACCCCCTATGCTTACAAGGTGTCAGTCAATGGCGCCGGTTTACTGGCCGCAATTCTCAGGTCAAAATTTGAATGTGTTCATATGAGTGCCCGATTCGAAGCTCAACCCTCGTACGGTCAACGAAAAGAAACAAAACCTCAATGAAGCTTGTCGAAACAACCGGAAGATTAAAAAAACTGGCGCCCAAGCGAACCAAAAAAAAGGCGCCGTCGCCCGACCCACAAGGGATTTTCGCCGGTATGACGGTTTTATTACTCGAAAACGGCGTGCAGTCTCTTCGTTTACAGGTCTCTCTGTTCTCTATTCTCCGTTGCTTTAACTATCTCATTTATTTGCCACATTTTTTGTTACATCGTTTATTGGGTGAACTGTAGATTTGGAAGCAAAAGCTGGTACAAATGGGAGCTAAGATCGAGACTCAGTTGTCGGATAAAGTGACTCATGTTTTTGCTATCAGTTCAGATGCTCTTTTGCACCGCAATGAGGACCAATTGGCTCGCTTCAAAGGGGTCAGTGCTCTTTCTCGTCTTTTTAATTTGATGGTATTTCAATGGAATACTGGAAATTCTTTGGTGTCCTGACTTTGTTTGGGAAAACCGCAACATTTCAATTCGGTAAATTGATAAAGAACATGTAATTATGACTTGAATGATTATTTTGAAATTCATGATTTCACTAGGGTTGTGTTTGGGAACTTAGATTTCAAGAACGAACGGTACTGTATGTTTAATGAAACACAAGTGACATTCATGATTATAGATTTAGGGTAGCAGTGAATTTGACATATTTATAGATATTTGTAAATTTGAAATTCATATGTTTATACCTTCTACATATACAACCATACTGAACCTTAACTAATTTATACAGAATGCTTGTAGTTTGTTCCCATAATTTATATAACAAAGGAAATCCAAATCCAAAATTTGAAATATATATTCTAAACAGAGCTTGGCGGTGGATTTGAAATACTTGTAGGTATTTTTGAATTTGGAATTCATCTTGTTATACCCTTTAAAATATATGGGTATATATTGGACTTTAGCTGATTTGTATTTAGTGTGTTGGGAAATGATCATCCAGCTCAGTTGGTAGAGCACAAGGTTCTTAACCTTGAGGTCGTGGGATCGAGTCCCACGGAGGGCATTTCATAATTCGGAGGTCTCCTACGGAAGCTGCTTTCAACCTGGTGTTGGGGGCAACCTACTATCTTACCTCCCCTTTACCCCATACATATGGGAAAAAAGGGACAACCATTTGTATTTAGTGTGTGCGTTTCATTCTCACAATTTATATAGGAAGCTAAGTCCAGATTCATTCTATCAAATTCATCTTCCAGACATTGCAGAATTATTATTTGAACAGTTCATTTATATTCACATTTGTTTTCCATATTTGTATTCAAATTGTACCAATAATTGGGAATCCATTTCGATTTGTTGTGCGTATCTTGGAATTTATTTCTGAAGTGCTTGCTTGAAGTATAAGTTGTTTTGCAATAAATACTTGTTGCAGCATGTCCTGTTGTGTCAGTGGTTGGAGGACAGCTTGGCAGCTGGTGAAAAGGTTTCTGAGGATTTCTATACCCTGAAAGTGGATCCGGCAGGACTAGATGTACCTGACAAGAGTCAAAAACCTAAACTAGCCAACAGAAATTCTAGCGACTATGATGAACAGTTACATTGCAAAAGGATCAAATCCTCACCTGAGGAGATAAAGCAAACTAACGAAGAAAGGAAAGTAGATATAGAAACTAACTCTGCATCAGCAACATCAGATACTGAGCCTCACTCTCCCAGCTCTGTACCTAGCAGTCCTGAAAACCTCAGTACTCAAGATAAGGATGTGAGTTCCCTGTTCCATTGTTGGTTCTGATGAAAGTTGAAACTTCTCTATTTTGTCCACTCTTTTTGTTTGCATAATGCAAATAATAGCCTTAAAAATAAGCGTCTTAACAGTAAGGTGTATGCTTTTAAGTTTCAAGCTTTTGTTGTGCTATTGCTTGTTTAATTATACTATGTTCGGTGATTAGGTTGGCACACCTACACCTTTGCAGCACAGTCCTCCAGATTTTAACAAAGACATCACAGATATATTTGGGAAACTTGTGAACATATATAGAGGTGAGACTTGGTTGTGCTTCAGATATGTGCCATTACTGCTAGTTACATATATTGCTTTCTGAGGATCTAACATGATATGGTTAATTTCTTTCAAAAGCATTGGGTGATGACCGCAGATCATTTAGCTACTACAAGGCTATTTCAGTTGTTGAGAAGCTGCCCTTTAAAATTGAAAGTGCAGATCAGGTAAAAGGTCTGCCTGGAATTGGAAAGTCAATGCAAGATCATGTAAGTGAACATGTTCTGATTTGAACTTTTGCTTGCAGCATTTGCTGCCTAGTTTGGTTAACTTGTTTTAATTTTTCCATTTAAGCTTTTCTGAGAGGGCAGTGACGTGGGACAGAGGTAGTAATATAAATTACCGAAAAATGTACCTTATAAGTGATTTGCAAAGATGTATAGACCTTTTAGTCTCTCTTTTTTTTAACAAAAACCTTTTAGTCCCCTAAAATTTATCCCAGACTGTTGGAATATTCATGCAGATTCAGGAGATAGTGACTACTGGAAAGTTATCCAAATTGGAGCATTTTGAAACTGATGAGAAGGTAAGATAAAAGGTTCCTTTTCAATTTAATTTAGACTACTCTTTTCTTTTTATTTCTTTGGGCTTACTTCTACAAATATGAATTTTCTTTACAATGATTGGCCCATATTTATATTTGGTAGTAAATTTTATGGATAGGAAATGCTTGCCAGTACTTTTCTACTTTACAACATTTGATTTTCAAACTTTTGCAGGTAAGAACAATAAGTTTATTTGGCGAAGTTTGGGGAGTTGGCCCAGCTACAGCCCTAAAATTATACGAGAAAGGACACCGCACATTAAATGACTTGAAGAACGAAGATTCTTTAACAAATGCTCAAGTGATAGGGTTGAAATATTTTGATGATATTAAGACAAGGATCCCTCGGCATGAGGTTAGACTAATATGTTCCTGCCAATGATTTTCATGATTGAAAATTTTCATATATATCCCTATTTTTGTGGAATCATTTGTGTTTTCTGAGTGAACAGGCTCAACACATGGAATCTCTTTTACAGAAAGTTGCAGATGGTATTGTACCTGGGGTGAGCACTCAAATTTTAGACTAAACTTAGATTTCATAATACTTTAAAATTTGAATTTTTGTGAAGCCTTATTCTACTGCTAGAAGTTTTATGATGGTGTTCCACTATGTTTTGTACATATAATGTGTATACAGATTAAATTGATATCCACCCTTTCTACTTTAGCTTTTCCTCGTTGAAAGGAAGGACTAGTATAAAAAAAAGTTGTGAAACTAATAATACACAAAATATGGGAGCTTTGACTACTATATAAGAAAAAAGGTTGTTTGGTCAGTTATTCATGTGTGTTATGATAAGGGATATAATTGAGCTGAGTCGAACTGATACATAGGCCAAGCTCAAAGTCGGCTTTTTAAGAAATCTTCAGACTTTAAATTTGGATTGAGCTTGACTGAGCTTCATTTTTCATGCTTGAACCCTTCTTGTAATTCACTTGAGACACTCAAGCTCAACTTGCTGGACTCGATTATGTTTGATAAATTGTTAATATGTACATTAATCACTGTATTTTATCCATTTACTAGTTTCTTTTAGAAATATTGACTATATTAAAAATGAAGGGTGGATAGCCTTAAGCGTTAGTTTATTAAAGTACTCAATCTTGATTCACTCAAGTAGCTCAAGCTCGAGTTTGATAGTAAACGAGTCATTTAATTATTTACTCAGTCAAGCCTGAGTAACTGACGAGGAGCTTGACTGTGTACAGCCCTATTTGTAATGGTGCAGTTGGCTATAAATTTATTTTTTTAATACTCTTAAGGGACACTTCAGCTGGAAGCTCAGCACAAGAGATTCATAAGGCATGTAACATTTGATTAAGTTGTACTTGAATAGTACTGTCTTTTTTGCAAGTACTGTCTTTTTTGCAGAAACTGAGTGTGTTCATGAAATAGGCCTGCAACAGCATGATGACAGCAGAATGAACTGAACTATGTTCTCAAATTTGAAAGTCAAAAACGAATTCTTGTAGGTTGTAGCATTATCTTTGCTGTGTCATGAGATTGGTTTTTAGGAGTAGGATTCTACTAGCACTGAATTGAAAGCAGATATTATCGTGTTTAATGGTGTTTGCACCAACTGAATTCTGTTTGTTAGGATATGACCTGCTGTTACTTGACTTGATATGTATTGAGATGTACATGTCGCAGCCTTACCTTAAGAAGTGATCTTCATATGAGTAGACATTATACTGTTGGCTTAATAATGTCTCCGTGAATCCATAATCTATTTTTTTTTTTCTTATACTTCTCTTGAAGATAGTTGTTGTATGTGGGGGATCTTATAGACGTGGAAAAGCTTCCTGTGGAGACTTGGACATTGTAATTACACATCCTGATGGAAAAAGGTTTAAATTCTAATTTCTAATTCGGCTTCTGTCCTCCTTTTTCTAGTTAATTGATTTTTTTTTAAATTGGCTTATCTTATTTTACTTATATGCTTTTACACTGTATTCTGCTTATCATTTTAAAAAGGCAAAAGGATGAGCATTACATGATAACTTCAGTAGTTAACCATAAAGTAAAACTTAAGTGGTTTCTGCTGCTGTTATTCAAATCGATCTTGATCGATGAGAGTTGCGTTGCATCAGACCATTAGGAAGGCTCCATGTTCATAAAATATCTAGTGGTTTTGGCTGGATAAGACAAATTCTTCTTCCAGTACCTATTAAGAAGCAGAGTGGCTTTCTTCGTTTGATTTCCAGTTTGTAACCACATCCTTCAGTCCCTAAGACATTTTTGTGCAAATATATATATATGTATGTATTTTGAATAGAACGTTGTCTGTTTTCATTACTCCTTTCTCATTTTGACTGATATATATGTGTGTGTGTGTATTATATTACTTCTTGTGGTCTTCCTGCTTTCTGCTCAACAATTTGTTTTACTAGTTCCTACAAATTGGATTGATTGCTAATTGCTCTCTTATTTCAGCCATAAAGGTTTTCTGCAAAAATATGTCAAGCATTTAAAAGAGATGAAGTTTCTAAGGGAAGATTTGATTTTTAGCACCCATAGTGAGGAGGTAAATATTTGTTCTATTGTTTGCATTTACTCATGCTATACTGATGAAGAGGGTGGTTATGCATGATGCAGTGATATGATCTTATAATTCTAGGCTTGTTGTTTCATTCAGTTGCATACAAGAAAAACATGCTTCTATTATGCAATATTGGCAATTTATAATTGTTACTATTTGGTTTGTGCAAGGTTACAGAATGATACTGTCTTTTTTTTTTGAAAGGTAGATACTGTCTTCTATTAGTTTTTAATACCAATACATTACCTTTTGTTATAAGACACGCAGAATAAACAATTCATAGCTAGCCAAGTTCAAGCGTAAGTTGCTAAATGCTTGAGTTGGTATTAAATAAGCCAATGAGAAGAAGGAAATGCTGAAGGAAAAGAGTTCTGGACTCTGAACTTCGAACTTTCTATGACAAATTCTATTGCAAAAGCAAAATTAGCGAACTTGATCTTGTTGAAGACTGAGATTTCAATTTATAAGTTCCTTATTGGACTTTCCCGATAGGGTAGCTGTGATTTCTTATAAACAATTGATGTCTGACCTGTAAGATACACCGCGTTGATTTTCTGGACTCCAGCTCTAATGTTTTTCTCTTTTCATTCCATTTCACCTTTACTTCTCTATGTTATGTGAATAGGGTACTGATTCAGGTGTTGACACTTATTTTGGTCTTTGCACTTATCCTGGACGAGAGCTTAGGCATCGCATAGACTTAAAGGTATCTTGATTATTTTTATGTTGTAATCAGAATAATATAGTGCCATGCTGAAAAAGAGAGGGAAAGATGGTTATCACTTATCAGCAACCACTTCTCTTCCATTTTATTGGAAATTTGTCATTTCATCCTTATTTAACATGCTTTGCTTAACTACTGACCTTACACGTTTCAGGTCATGAAAAACTTTTCTAATATATTTTTACTGGTTTTGTCATGCCAAATTGGGTTTTATATGCAGTTATTTTCATGTGATAATTTGCAGGTTACAGTATATAACATTCATTAATTTGCTTGTATCCTCTACTTCTACTTTGTAGGTATATCCAAGGGACATATATGCATTTGGACTAATAGCATGGACTGGGAATGATGTGCTAAATAGAAGGCATGTTCCTTAATTATCAAAAGCATTCTGTTAGTATTAGAATAGGCGTCCTGTTGATTTTTATAGCTCTGGGCCTGTTCAATGTGCTATTTGTTGGATGCGACATGCCACTTGTCAATATAGTTGTGTTGCTGGCTGGCAGATGGGAATTTTATCGAAGCATATTTGAGTGTTCTATCTATGCTTTTACTGCTAGTGTGTGATAGTGTTATCAATTGATGCTGTTGACTGATTCACTGATATTGCTGGGTAATTTTTTTTTTTTTTTTGATAGAAGTTGGAGGTCTCATTAAAAACTCCCTTCGTATTCGTTCACATACTAAAAGTATGTTAACGAACATTGGAAGGAAGAAAAGAGTACCTCAGATTTTATTAATATAATACCCGATACAAAAGACACCACGGAATATCCTCTCATGGTGATGTACACCATTACAACAAAAACCTTAACCTAATAAAACCTCATCCAAAGCCACAGTCAAATCACCTTACTACTAATTACACCACCAACAGTAGTAATAAAACAACGCGACAGAACATAATACAAAATGAAAGCAACACCTACAACCATATAGACTAAAATAAAACCACAAATGAAGAGACGAGATCTAATGAGACTTGTATTCTTCATGAGCCCAAGAGTTTGGTTTGAATGAAGGTTCTATCTTATGCACCATGACCTTGAAGAAATTGTCACCAACCTTCAATTCAACCATCGAATCAATTCTCGCATCAGCCTTTGTTAGGACTTGAATTTTAGCCCGATCAAAGGATGATGGAGATTGACAACTTTCGTCGATAGCCAATAAAAGACCCCACTTATCAGCAATGTTCTTGAAAGTATTCCAATTCCATGCGTGAAAAGGAACACCCTCGCAAACTAGCCATCGTTTTTACCTGAGTGCTACTCATATACAAACTAAACTGTCCACCTTACAAACTAGTTTTTGAGGTCGGGTTTAGTTTCTTTAACTTGATATTAGAGCTAGGTTACTTTTCCGTTCCAGTGGGTTACCTGCTCTATGCTCTGATTTCTCAGTATGAGGGGTGCCAGAAGTCATAACAATCCCTACCTCCTGTACCTGAGTGTGGCTTATGCACCTATTAGAACTGTTTCATTATTCTTTGTCCCTTACAAATCTAAACGAACCATATTTATGTTCCTGATGGCATCATCGAGAATTATCGTGTTATGGCTCACATGTATTTTCCTTTTTTCTTGGTTACATCTGTCATTTGTTGCTATGGAGAAAATACATGTTTATTCCTTTAGTGCAGGTTGAGACTGCTAGCAGAATCTAAAGGATGCCGACTTGATGATACAGGGCTGTTTCCAGCTACTCATGGTTCAGGCGGTAAACGGGTAATTTTTCGGTATTTCTGTATGTAGCCTTCAGCTAAACCTCCATAATATGGATCGATTCTTTTGTAGGGTTCAAGAGGTACCGCAAGTTTGAAATTGGAAACGGAAAAAGAGGTGTTCGATTTTCTGGGATTTCCATGGCTTGAGCCGCATGAAAGGAATCTGTGAAACAACATAGTTGCATGAATTTGCTATGCAGGTACATTCCACAAAGCATTTCATCCATAGGAGCCTAGAAACTCGAATGTTGCACTAATTTTGTCATTTAAAATGATAAGGGGTGTTTTTTTTATTTATAGTATACGTAAATAAAAAGATATATGATAACAAATTAAAATCATATACAAAGGAAATTTTTTTTCTTAAATAATTACTTAAAAGGGAGAAAGAAAAACAAGTCTCCTATAAGATCTTTTGTGGGAAGATATTTATTACATACATATGTTCAAATCATAGAGAAAGAGCAAGGGTACTATTTAAGCCTAAACTAGGTCACGGAGCCATTGTCTCTAAAATGTGGGGAAAAGAATTGCAATAGCTCCCCATGCTTCCACTATAAAGTTGGATATGAAGTAGTCAACAAATTATGATGTATATATGGGGTTTTCCTTTTGTCTTTGTGATGGCCACCTCCTCTATATTTCATTTCTGTACAGCAAACTTTAGTTTGCACCATTATCCATGTGTGTGTGTGTGTGGGGGGGGGGGGACTTAATGCTACGTTAGCGTCTTACATCGGTCCATAGTCACTGTTCATCCGTTTACGTTCGTGTTCGTGTTAACATGTATTTTCAACACGTACTGTACGAATATCTTTTCGGTCCGCATATTTTTTTTATCAATTGCAGTGGAGAACGATGGCAACTGGTAATTAAGACATGTTTTGGTCCTCCAATTGGCCGCTTCTGAGCCATCACATGTTACCAGTCAGCCTTAAGACATGAAGCTTTATGTCAATTATTAAATTTTGCATTTGTTTTTGAAATGTAATTTCATTTATTGGTGTGGTCATAATTGATTTTCATGGCATTCGATAATTAAAACGGTGGGGGGTTAGGTTTGTTGAATCTGCAGATTGCACATGGAGCCAGCTAGGCAGCCAAGAAACCCTTTAAACTTTGATCCAGTAATAATGATGGCGTCCCAGTTTTTTCAACATATTTGTCATTGCCATCTGCAGATTGTAGCATGTTTCCGCATTTCCTGACTGTCCATTTTGCCCTTCCAATACTTCCAGGGCTCCAGGGTAGGACAGTAGATTTCTCCTAATTGGCTTTATTTACTGGTAATTTATGCATTTAGTACTTAAACTATTAGCTTTAGTTTGTTTTAACATTTGAGTTTTCGATTTTTTTTAAAATCATATCTAAAGTTTAGTTTTTGGTTTATTTCAATACCCTGTTCAAAATTTAATAAATTTGAAAATAAATTAAAAGTTTATATATTAAAATGGATCAAAATCAATGGTTATGGTTTAGATATTAAATGTGTGAAGTTTTTAATGGAATTAAACATCGAGTATGATTTTGAAAAAATTAAAAGTTTAGGTATTAAAATGAAAAACTGATAATCTAATATTAAATATGATCTATCCTAATTGGCTTCATTTACTTAAATATCACATTTTTTAAAATTATTTCTGATTATTTTCCGGATTAAATCTTTTTATCGCATAAAGTTAAAACTTCTTTTTAAGAAGTATTTCTCAAAATAAGCTTTGTAAGACACGTTTTCACTGTTTATATGACGTGATAGAAGTCGGTTAAAATTTTGAAATTGGGCAAAATGAAAAGAGGAGAGAAAAAAAGGCGTTTAAAAAAAAAATCACCTTTTTCATTTAATATTTTCGATTAGGCATAGTTCAGATTATATTTCTCGATTTAATAACTTTTGTAGAAAGACGCATCTCTTGTAACGTGTTTAACATTGATTTAGTGTCATGTGGAGCAATGCGCGTTTTATGCTGACATGAGATACACGTGTATATAGCGCGACCTCTGAAGCGCGTCTTAGGCCAGTGCCTTAGGCCACGTAGGGTATAGCGTGGGGCAGAGGCCGCGCCTTACATGTGAATCTGCCAAGCGTCAGTAAGGCGTGTCCCCTACGGCGCGCCTTAGGTTTAATTATCCACCTACCCCGGCGCTTTAAACCCAAATCCCTCCTTATAAATACCTATCCTCAATCACTTTCATCACACCAAATTCTCTCAACTTCTCTCAACTTCTATGTGTAAGGTATATTTTATTATATTTTTAATATTTTGTATTTAATTTATTTAAGTATTTAATTTATTTAATATTTTACTTATATAATATTTTTTTGCAGATATATAATGGAAGGCGGTCTGCTTCGCTTGGATGAAAATCATATATCTCGACACTTTGCTGATACGGTAGCATTTTAACGTTTTAATTTAATTTAAATTATAAGTAATAATTTGTTGATTTATTTAATGCATGATTATTAGATTAAGAATTAATTTTTGTAATTATTTAATTTTAGGAGAAGGACCGTGTATTAGATCCTTTTATTAGGAACCTTAAGTTAGTGATACCTAGTCGTGTCTTGCCTTATTTAGTAGACGATGGATTCGGTTATATAGGTAGATATCATGGTCACTGTAAGATAGAACCATACCTTATTTCTGTCTTAGTAGAGCGGTGGAGGCCGGAGACCCACACATTCCATCTTCCGTGCGGAGAGTGCACGATTACACTTGAGGATGTTGCTATGCACCTGGGGCTTCCGATGGATAGAGATGTGATATCAGGGATCGTGCAGGGTTTCTGGACTACTTTGTGCCGGGAAAATTTTAACGGTGGTCGGATACCGTTAAATTGGTTAGATGCCAATTTTCGGGAGTTGAGCGAGGGCACCTCTGATGATGAAGTTAAAATGTATGCACGAGCATGCATACTGCAGCTGATAGGAGGGCATATCGACATTGAGATAGAAAAAGCTCGCAGTAGAATGCCTCCCCCTGGAGCTTGAAGCCATCGTGTTAAATGGAAACTGCACAGATTATTGCGTCGATGGCATCTCCATATTAAGGTCAAAGGGATTTGCAGATGAATGCCTTCCCCTTGAACTGGACGCGATGTTGCCATACGGATTATTCGTTGACCCACCTCGGTACATATCTTAAGGAGTTGCAGATGAATGTCTCCCCATTATGGCATTAAAATCATTACACATTACTGTCGTCGGGCTGTCAACTAAATCAACTTGTTCAGTCAGCCCATAGTGGAAGCTTAATGATTGACCCCGAACAACACGCACTTGAACAAAATTTGCATACATCTCAATATCGGCGTTTGAATACTTACTTTGAGCTTCAACCATCATTTCAACATCATCATTGTTCGAAAGTTCGAACGTTGTATAAGTTAATGGCAACAATGATGTTGGAAATATGTACTGCAACGACGACATCCTTCTACTACTTCCAACATGAATCTTCTTCGAAATCTTCGTTATCAGCTACTCAAGAGTTATGTTTTTCTTGAATGATATTTTAACACGCTCATTTGATACGAAAACGTCGGTTCCATCTTCTCGAATTTCACTATCATAATAAACAATAGCTGAAAGTCGCGTCATTCTTTAAGTTTAAAAGTGCGACAATATTATATCTGCAAAAAAAAATAACTAAAACAAACCAGATTAAATAAATAATATATGAACGAAAAATATAACACAATAAAATTTTTACACATAAACGTAAATAATTTAAATAATATAATTTTATATTATTACCTGCACCGCAAAACTATTTCGACGTATGCTCCCGCTTTCCAATTTTACAAACACAAAAATTAATTGACAACAATTAGTATAATATTTTTTCATATAATCATAATAAACAATAAGTATAATAAATAATTATAACAAAATTACATTGTAACGAAAAATCGAACGAACTTCTGAATCAAATATGAGAAGATTGTCGGATTGTTGTATTAATTTTTTTCTGTTAAGAGGAGATGTGAGGAGTTCCGGGGGAAGAGTATTTATAGTCGAGAAAAGTTATTATAATTATACAAGATACGGTACTTACACTGCGCCTTACATAATTATATCAGATAAAACTAAGGCACGACCCCTGTCCTGCGCTATAACCTACGTGGCCTAAGGCGCGCCCAGGGGCCGCGCTATACACGCGTGTATTTAATGTCAGCATAAGGCGCGCCTTACCCTAAGTAGCGTCAAATCAGCGTTAAGTACGCTGGAGGTGACGCACCTTTTTGCAAAGGGTGTTAGATCAGGAAATATAGTCTGAACGGTGCCTGATCGAGAATATTAAATGAATAAGGTGATTTTTCGGGATAAATGCCGAGAAAAAAAGAGGGCAAAAAATATGAAAAATGTTATATAAATTTCATTAGAAATATATATTAATTTTGTGTTCAATCATTTGATAAATATATGTTTAAAAGATTATATTTAAATAATTAAAGTTTGATATATTCAAATAATGTGAAATTATCTTACGAACTCTTAAATTTCACATAATTTAAAGACGAGGATAATTGAAATATAATCTTTTAATGGCTTGATATTAGGTTAATATAGGCGTTTCATCGTTTGATTATATCCGTGCTTATATATTAATGTGTTTTTAACATGTATCATCGTGTTCGTTCATTTCTTCATATAAAATTTAAAAAAATTAAAAATTATATTTAAACAGATATTATTATGTTGTACGTAGACTAAATTAAAAATAATAATAATATGCAACCCATAGAAATTCCAACCAATAAAACTTCTTTATTACCCTCCAAAAATGAAAACACCGGTTCCCCCGGAGAACTCTTGCCCGCCAACCAACCAAACCTCAGAAAATAAATAAATAAATAAAACCTCATATATTTAAATCTCAAGCTGACTGACAGTCTAGAGCTACCATAAACAATTCTCTCTCTCACTTCTCCTCCTCCTCCTTTCTGTTCCACGGCAGCTACACGCACACGCGCAGCCGATTTTTAACAACACCGCCGTCGTCGCTTAGTTCTAAAATCAACGGCGTCTATGGAGGGAGAATGAGGCATAATGAACGGTAACGATTTCCGTCATTCTTAGTATCTTCATCAATAACACTTTCGATATGTCGGTGTTCTGTTCCGATCGTTTCACGGGCTTACACTGCGGTGAGGATTCAGACGAGGTGTTCTCCGGTGATTTGCCGGCATGTTCGTCAGAGCTCGACTCCCCGGCGTCTGGCATCGAGAAATCGTCCATCGCCGGCTTTATCGAACACGAAAGGAACTTCGTTCCCGGATGCGATTACTTGG